CAAAGAGAAAAAAAAACAATAGAAAATAAACAAAATTTTATATTGCAAAAAATAGGCTGCAAATTCTGTATGGTATTTTGTTAAAATAAATGCAGTGTTGAAGCTTTTTCAGCTATCAAATGCTCCTTTATGAAATAAACTGTTTTATTACATTCAGGTTTAGGTAGAGGTAATTTAAATTTATGTTTAATAATATTAATTATACAATGTATTTCTTTAAATTAAGCCGAAATAATAGCCAACCATGCGTAGAGTATGTTAACCAGACAAGACCAAATCAAATTCTTTGATCATTTAATAATAGACCTCGAGCTTACTGTATAATGGAGCCTATAAAAATATAATTTCATTATTAATTTTTTAAAAATTAATAATTTATACCTAATAATACAAATGTGAATCATGATTTTCTAAAACACTAGCCTTTTTTAAATAACCATGCCAGTATAGGCCTAGAGCCTAGGCTATACCAGAACTGGTTATTAAAAAGGAATGAGTTTTCAAAAACAATGAACCAACGGCAACACTTTTCTGCTAATTTTATGGAGAAGAATTGGTACTTGTAAATAATTATAATCGTTATAGGCCTAGGCCCCTAGGTCTAGGCTAGTAGAAGAGGCCATAGGCCTAATTATTGCCGTTTTGTGTGGCCTAGCCCTAGGTCCAGGCCTACTACTACTAGGCCTAGGCTAGTAGGCTAGCCCAGTATCAGCTTATCCCCTTACTTTAGAGTTAGGGCATAACGATAGCCTAGGCCTACGCCAGACCCACCTAAAGCATATATGCCATGGGACGCTAGCATTAGGCCTATATACATAGGCTAGTCCTGACGAAAACTCGGATTGCCCTTATCTAGGCTAGGTTAGGTAGGCATAGAGAGGCTTAGCCTAGGCCTATTCTACTATAATACTAATAGAATAGTAACTTTCGTATGAGAAACGTAAGCCTACCTGTAATGCCAAACTTGGCACCAATTGCTGAAAACACTTCGGCCTTCTTTACATCGTTTTTGTATTCATTCGAGCCAAAATTGAATTCAGTTGTATTTCGAGTAAAATAGCTTCTAAATCATCATCATTCAACTTCAGAGGAAGTGTTGTCGCCATGTCCAATATACAAGATGGTGAGAATAGCTCTAGTCGGGAAAAAAGAGAAGCCGATTTATGTGGAGAGTTCTGATTGGACAGAAGTCTTCAGGTTTTGAATCCGGTCCGAAAAAAATCGCTTCAGGACTGATTCGATCCGGTTGCCGGATGCCAGAACTGGTCACCGGCATTCGAGCCAAAATTGAATTCAGTTGTATTTCGAGTAAAATAGCTTCTAAATCATCATCATTCAACTTCAGAGGAAGTGTTGTCGCCATGTCCAATATACAAGATGGTGAGAATAGCTCTAGTCGGGAAAAAAGAGAAGCCGATTTATGTGGAGAGTTCTGATTGGACAGAAGTCTTCAGGTTTTGAATCCGGTCCGAAAAAAATCGCTTCAGGACTGATTCGATCCGGTTGCCGGATGCCAGAACCGGTCACCGGCTACCGGATCGGATTATATGTGAATAGAATACGCCTTAAGCGTTGTGAGAATAGAAGTCCGACTTCTTAACCGGTACCGGAACTGGAACCTGAACTGAAACCTGAACAGATGTGAAAGGCGCTTTACTAGGGTCTATTCTAAATATTTTAGGCCCGTTTTATTAGGGAAGACTATTTAAATTTAGTCATGCCTAACCATGGCCCTATGGCCTAACTAGTCAACGCAAGTGACTCAGTTTCGTGGCTCCAAAAATATGAACATTTGATTGGTTGAAATTGTTTATTTCGGTCCGCCCATTTATCCAAATACGGAATATAAGATTACGTCATTCTTTTGGCATCCATGGTGCCTGATTTCAGTGTTTTACAAGTCGCTTATTCCGTCTATAAATTAACTTTCTCGTTGGTGGCGCTGTCCAGAATGAGAAAAATAATAAAAAATAAGAGACTTTTGGCAAGTCTACCTAATAGTTAGTAAATGGCCGTATTTTCTTTGGAAGTGAATTGTTCTTATTTTAACTGTTTTTCCATGTGCTTGGCCGTCATAACATTACCGTATATTCTACCACATAATTGTACTGTGCTATACCTCTAGGCTTACCCCCGCTACAGTAGTAGGCTAGGCAACAGATCGTGATCAGCAAATATGCACCTTTTTTCCCAGTTCATGTCAACGTTTATTGAATATTGTTTAGCTAACCAAATGCGCGTATTTCTTGGTGAAAAAGGAGACAAATAATGTACTGGCGTTGTACCTGGGTCTCTAACAACGCAGTACACACGAAACTGAGTACCGAGCAACACGTAAGCATTCAATTAATATTAATGTTATTATTGTTTTTATTTATTGTATATTAATTGTTATTTCTTTATAAGTATCACGTATTTGTACAATTTTGACATAACCTTCAGTAAAAACAAAAATTGAATATTAAGTTTTTTCGTCATTGAAGTTTATATATTTATTATGCGTTCAGGATAAATTAACCTTATAAAGTAGGCCTATCTAAATGCGTAGTTTTTTTTGTTTTTTTTGAGACAATCATTACCATCATATTTAATGATTTACAGTTAAAAACCGAAAATACATTTTCAATTGTTTTACCATGTGCTATGAAGAAGCCTCGTAGGCCTACATTATTGAACGAGAATTGGTGAAGTGTCCTGTCAATTTTCTGTTATTACAAAAAAAAATAGTATGCGAAGTTAATACAACCTGCTTTACACTAGGGCTATTTAATTTCATGTGTGCAATAGAGTTTTCCGACTCCATTTAATCAAAATCAAAATAAACTGTTAACAAATGTCTCAAATAATCTGTTTTGCGGGTTAATTTCCAAAATGTATACAATTGTTGAAATTATTTTATACCAACACTACCCAGTGCCTATCATTTTATACTAGACATATCAGGCATTTTTTCCCCTAATTGAATACCGTAGGCCTACTTAGGTAGTTGTCTTCACTACTGTGTTCGCCACATTACGATACGGTACTTGGCGCCTTCGCCAAATTTCGACACTGCTGGTGTAGTCGCCATATTACGACACCATTGCCGTCTTCGCCACATATCGCCTCTGTTGTGTCTTTGCTACATTACATTACTGTGATCTTCGCCACATTACAATAAGGCTCACTCTGTCATTAGGTGGACGTTCCAATCACAAAGCAATTTGGTCTATCATGCTTAATCACTTAAAAATAAACAGAACAATAATATTACATAACATATGTTATGTAATAACTGCAGGTGTAAATCATTGAACATGCATTGTCCTGTCAAATATTTATTTATGACAGTGATAAGTACATGGTAAAGGTCCGGTCATCACATCCACATTAACACCTATTTGAGAGAGGCAGCACTGTCTGGCATTGCTAACATTGCTGCCTCTCACATTATCCCCTCCAATTACACCCAACTTCTATTTTATCATGTACCTGAAAAGTGTTAGGCCTATTGTTGTGTCTTTGCTACATTACATTACTGTGATCTTCGCCACATTACAATAAGGCTCACTCTGTCAATAGGTGGACGTTCCAATCACAAAGCAATTTGGTCTATCATGCTTAATCACTTAAAAATAAACAGAACAATAATATTACATAACATATGTTATGTAATAACTGCAGGTGTAAATCATTGAACATGCATTGTCCTATCAAATATTTATTTATGACAGTGATAAGTACATGGTAAAGGTCCGGTCATCACATCCACATTAACACCTATTTGAGTGGCAGCACTGTCTGGCATTGCCAACATTGCTGCCTCTCACATTATCCCCTCCAATTACACCCAACTTCTATCTTATCATGTACTGAAAAGTGTTATCTACATTTTGTGTCCATCTTTGTCAGCACTGTACTACTGCCTGCCCTTGTTTTAAGTTTACATATTCTAGGACATAGGCCTACACACTTTAGAAGAACATGTACACCATACGGTACCCTGAAATTTTGTATGGCCATGGTTAAACACCCAGGCAATATACTATATACAGCTAATTAATGATACAGATATTCTTGTTTATTTGGAAAATAAATCAATACGACAAAACTACATTCTACCCGACTACCAAAATTCCTATTCAATCATTCCAAACTTTATCTGTACTTCACTATACAGTGACGGTATAAATGTGCTGCAAAAGTACAAAAACTCTGTAAATACAGTAGTTTAAATGATTGTAAGAAATAAAACAGTATCGTAGGCTTTACTACTGGCATATAAAGTTATGTACAATATTATTTCCGTCCCTTGTATACATTAAAGGGCAATTGCATCCAATTTGCTAACGAGCACCGTACTCGAGGTAATCGGCTCCATATCATCAGAAATTAATCGTCGTAATTTGGCTTACACATGGAGTAACTGCAACACTTAAAATTTACAATGGTCATTTTGGTACCCGACCCAACCCGGATTGTAATCGTACATATTTTGCATACATATTTCATGAATATTTTGATGTTGTTGTACTCTGAGGTCGCCCGGGCATCATAACAATCAACCGACTGCACGTGTCCGGTCCCACGACGACACTCAATAACGCTTTCCGTTACCTCTAGTCTGTGGCAAATTTGGCTGCTAACATTTGTGTCAATTATGTCGCTTATTTTCGTTAATTAGAATTTAAACGTCATCGGTCCAGAATAAGGCACGGAACCATTTATCATTCGTATGAACACCATTTGTTTGTGAAGCCAGACTCAATTAAATCCTACACGTTTAGTTTTCGGATTGGTCGCTCGAATCGGGGAGCCCGGTCAAAAACTTGCCTCGGGAGACAAAATCATATGCAGCGCAACGATTGTAGTAAAATACCAGTGACATCAAGAGAAACCGGACTTGAAACCACCAGGCGTGGAGCCTGCGGCTTAATTTGACTTGACTACCCCCCCAACCACTGTCGCCACCCCTGTACTTAATTGTTTTGCCTAAATAAATTGCAAAATAAGCATATTACCTGAAGTGAAAAAAGGGCTGCACACCAAAACGGTGACTAGGATGATTCTGATTCCATGAAACATTTTGTAAAAAATACTTTTAAATAATCCAGATTTGTAACGCACAACCATTCAGTGACGTTGTGTTCACGCAAATGGTCATGCATGTACTGTACATTGTTAGGCCTTTATGATATTTCTCAAAAAAAAAAAAAATTAATCAGAACTAAAATATACTGCTTACATAGCCGTTAAATGATAATATAATCAAGTAATAAATATCATGTTTATGCACGATATGGAAAATCTGTTGTCAAAGAAAGCTTTCATGAAGCGCTAATTTTTCACTAATATAAACATCAAAGCATTTTGTAAAGAATGAAGATACAAAGAATCCATCTTATAGTTTTGTTTTTATTCATACTATGATTACGGTCCGCTATTTACATTTTATTTCAGTGAGGTGGTATTATTTTGATTGAAGCATATATAATCAAGTAATAAATATCATGTTTATGCACAATATGAGAATCTGTTGTCAAAGAAAGCTTTCATGAAGCGCTCATTTTTCACTAATATAAACATCAAAGCATTTTGTAAAGAATGAAGATACAAAGAATCCATCTTATAGATTTGTTTTTATTCATACTATGATTACGGTCCGCTATTAACATTTTATTTCAGTGAGGTGGTATTATTTTGATTGAAGCATAGGATTATATTTTATTTTAAAAGAAGTGTAATAATAACATTAACGATACGATATACTGTACTCCATATTATCAAAATAAACTTTTATGAAAATACACTTTCGCTTCATTTGAGATGTGCGACATTTTAAACTCGTGTCATAATCGATACGAAATACTCCTGAGAGGAGTGATTTTTTTTACCTGACTTGTTATCGTACCGAATACATATAGTTAGTATCGTTCCTGGTGTACGGTAAGAATAGCCACGGAAAAAATGGCCCCGGTAAAAATGGCCCCAAATGACAGGTAGGTAAAAATGGCCCCAATAATAAAATTCTGTATTAAAACTGATTTTTTTTAAAAATCATTATATGCATTTTTTTAACTGAAAGAATTTAGTCTTTAAAAAGGAATCTAACATCAAATAAATTGCCATTTACATTTTACCTTTTGCAAGAATTACATAGGCCTATTTAATGATAAAATATTCAAAGATATAGAAAAGCCATAAATAACACTTTTTTTCCATTTAAATGTTAAAAAAATAGCAACAACATACCGGTAATCAATAAATCAACATAAATCATGCATTTATTAGGACTAAAATAATTTATTTGTGGCCACAAACAATGAGTTTATATGAACATCAAATTATTATTTTTTTTTAGAAAAAGAGAGTTCAATCTACAATCATAATTAAAGGGTTTGGATAGGGTTCGCAGTGTGTTTAGAGATTTGTGGTATATTTTGAAAGTATTTTTTCACAAAAAAAAAAATCAACATTTTAACCAAAAAATTGGTTCTTATGAATATTAAATTTTCTTATTGATATACCAAGGGAGTCAATCACAATTGAATTGTCTGGTTTTCTACAGTGTGTTTTGGGAGGTTTGTGGGATTTAGAAATACCATTTAATCCTACCATAATTACCCTACCCTCACAATTACACGCCATTTTAATTCTTAGCATAATTGCCGTATTTACATATATATATAGTATCTCAGTTTACATTATTTAGTATAGTTTTAGGCACTAGTTGGTATGCAATTAAATAAGTTGCTTAAATAAATGTATGCCTATTCCTAATTATTCAATTTACTTTAAAAACAATATTTGATTAATAAATACTTCTTTGAAGCAACTCTATGCAGAACATTTATTGCTAAGTTTGTGAGAAAGTAAGCCTCTCCCTTTTCCCATACATGAACTTGTGATTCAAACACACAATTGATCCACATGCTTTAACTACTTGTTAAGATAAGTTTGTAGTTAATTATACAAGTATAGAACGATAGAATATGCTTTACTTCGTGGCGTGCACCATGCTCACACATAGCTACAAATTAAATCATCGCATATAGGTGGTGGTAAAGCGTTTATTATTAAAGCGTTTAGAATATTGTTACATCCTCCCATTTTTATAAAAGCTTCGCAATTATGTTTCTGATGAATTATTTGGGAGTACGCATCTATTGAATCCAAAACATTACCTAAAATGATTCATAATTAAGGATATAGTAATCTTAGTCGAATCGGTAGCAAAGAGACCGGTTAACCAATGTTAACAGAAAGTTAAACTTCAATTAAACATTAACATTAACGCAAAACTTTAAATGCAAAACAGTTCATAACAGTTTTAACAACTTTCAAAATTTGAAGAGTTCATGCAGATCAGTAACAAACACAATCATTCAACTTGTTTGGTTCACGGCAGATTCGTGTTGATCTCCGTAGAGGTGGTTGTTGGTCTATTGGTGTGTGTGTGTCTGGTTGGATCGCTGGTTTTGGATTGGTGTTAGGAGTAGGTGCTATAAATTGCGTGTTAGTGACATCTTCAATTTGATGTGGGTTAGTCGGTGTTTCAGGAATATCATAGTCTGAGAAGTCTGGTTGTTCTTTGGTTTTCCGTATGTGTTCACGGTTTCGTATGTACATGGTATTTCCTTGTACCACCTTGTAAGATCTTTCACTTAGTCTTTTGCATACTTTGGCATTTTTCCACTACTTCTCACCTAGTTGAAACGGTTTCATTCTAACTATGTCACTTTCATTGAGTGGTGGTAGATCTTTAGTTGTGCGGTTGTAATACTTTTTTGGTTGTGGCGTAGCTGTCTCATATCCACCTCATTTGTTTTCAATGGTTTGAGTAGCTGCTGTACAGTTGGTATGACTGTCTTCGTTCTACGTCCCAGGAAACGCTGTGCTGGGCTGGTGTCTACTCCTTGTGTGGGGGTATTTCGTACATTCAGTAATGCAAGGTTGATGTCATCACCAGTGATAGGCATTTTCTCAATAGTCTTTTAGCTGACTTAACAGAAGACTCGGCTTTTCCGTTTGACTTACTGTTATATGGTGATGTTGTTTTTTGACAGATCCCCAATTTTGCAGTGAAGTCTGTAAATTCTGCTGAGAAGAACGGTGGGCCGTTCACTTATAAGTGTGTCGGGTATACCATATCGACCAAAGTTGTTCATCAGCTTGTTGATTACTGATTTTGCATTGGTAGAATGGAGATGGTCTACTTCCCAGAAATTTGAATGGTAGCATACTGTTATCAGGTATTCTTTTCCATTTTAATGGAACAAATCAATTCCGACCTTCTCCCAAGGGCGATTTGGAATCTCATGACTTTTTAGGGGCATTGGTGCTTGGGAGACACTCTTTTCTATCCACTGCTTGACCTCATCATTCATATTG